CGGGGCGGGCAGAGGTCTCCGGGCACGGCCGGGCCGCCGCCGCCGCCTTCTCAAGTAGAAAGCCGGCCCGCCGCGCTCTCGGGGGAAACCCTGCCGGGGCCGAGCCACTGCCGAAGGGCGAGAATTTCAGTCTTCGGAAACTCAGAGCGTCCCACGCCCCGACTTACCTACCCGCTCCGGGCAGAGCTGCGCCTTTTCCGCAGCTGGGGCTGACCACGACCAGAAGGCAGAAGGCATGACCGGCTGCAGAGCAAGACAGCGACGGGCAACCCCACGCGAGACTGCCCCGGTGCGGCATCTCCAGGGCAAATACGACTCAGCCTGCTCTAGCCTGGTGGGACGTTAACTCTGAAACCTAATGGAGGCAATGGCAATAAGTGGTGTTGCGTGCTGTTCCTCAGCTGGGGCCTGACGAGTGAGGGCAGACCCTGGGAAGAATATTACCTTTTCCCTAATTTAGCTCTGATTTGTCACTGCTTTAGGCAGTTTTGTTTATCTCTAGCCCCTTGGGGTGTGGTACCACCAACAAAAGACGGAATTTTTCTATACAGGTTTTTCAGCCAACCTCCTTAGCTGTGATTCAGGAAAAACAGTTGTTCCAGTTGCATGTTAAGCCCCCACCGATCTGACAGTGGACAGGTGGGAGAGGTTGGTTATAACAACAGTGCTGCCATTTACAACTTGAGTGCAAGCATTGCTGCTGATGTAGTAAATGAATGCAGCTCATCAGTGAGCCACAGCTCAAGGCTGCTGCTGAAGCTGGGATTTGGCCATGGCCGGAGAGCGCGGAGCAGTCAGCAAGTGGGGATGAGGAGGGTCACTCAGATACTGGCCCTACAAGACATGGCCATGAACGATCCCATCACAAGGCACACCCTTTGCCTCTGCAATCCCCTTTCTTGGCTTCCTCCTTTTTCCTGCATTAACTGGTCTTCTCATAGGTTATTTCCTTCCGGGGTACATGCATCCGTACTATTAATCTCATCTCTATCAGAGAGCAGTAGTTCTTCCACTGCATCGTTACACGTCTCCTAGCAGTGAAGAAACTGACACTGAGAGCTCCTTTCCCCCCAGGAATGAGGCATTTCTGGAGGGCTGTGACACACTGCTGGGTCCTCTTCCCCACTCTGCATGCCCAGCTTCTGCAGTCACAAAAGCATCTCTAGCTTGTTCCTTACCAAGCATACTAGGACAGAGTGACATCAATAAATATCAAGGTTCAGTAGCTATTGATGAGTCTTTTTGCCTTCCTTGGCCGCAGCACTGTAAAGCAAGGGCTAGCAATGCTAGTGACTGCAGCAAAGCAGAGGTCAGGATGCCTTTTTACTTCTATGTAAGGTAACCTGTGAAACAGAAAAATGGGCTTGTGCCTGCGTGCTTTCTAAGGACCTATAAAACAGCTTGAGGCTTTTGCCTTGAGGCTTGTTTATAGTTTGACTTCCTAAAATCATGGTGAATACTGTCACCACATGGGTCTCTCTGCCTGGCTATCCAGTCGCATCAGAGTTTGAATGTGTTGCCCAACTTCAGCTGAGTCAGAGTGCTGCTATCGCAGAAGTCAGTGTCTTACAGCTTTTGACCTAAGTCAGGGTTAAAAATGCACATGTAAACCCAACATCAGCTGACAACCCTTCCCACAGAGGCTGGCATTTGGGGTTTCTTGTCCTACCTAACCTGTTTGGTCATCTCACCCGAGAGAGAGTCACAAAGACCCTTTGTAAACCAGCGGACTTGGGCATGCTCCCGAGCTCCCAGGTCTGCTTGCATGCCACAGCAGCTGCACCCTGACCCCATGTTACAGTGAGATCTGGGTGTAAACAAGCTTTTTCTCTGCTTCTATACCTTGGTTTCCTTGAGAAAAAGTCACAGCCTGCCTATGGCTCAGGAGGGAGAACCGGTGAGCTCAGGCCAAGTCATGAGCAGGATCCTCAGGTGCAGGACACTTGGGAAGCCCACGGCAGACAGCTGCTGCTCAGTATGGACACAGACAGAGACAGCCACAGAGGGGCACTACTACAAAAGTGCACTGCTACAGAACAGCAGGAATAGACTTTATTTAATAATTTGCACAAGAAACACAATAGTAATTCAATAATTCCATTTATTAATTGTCAAATAGTAATCCACTGCAATAAGAAACAAAAAATCAACACAAACATAAGTTGCACTGTGTATGTGTGTGTGTGTAACTTAAAATGGCAAGAGCAAGAACAAAAAATAAACCTTTAAATGAGTATGTTATATACAGTCAGTATGATCGTGTTACTTTGCTGGATAGATTAATTTGGTGTTATCCAATCTTAGCAACAGGCCTAAGTATTGCTGCAAATAACTGGAGGGCAAACCCAAAGCAGAAAAACAAACCCATAAATAACATGAAGGATTAAAGTACCTCCTGCAGAAAAGAAACAGTGGTGCTTTGTGTCATATCTGAAACCCTTTCATAATGGATATTTTGTGCGAAAACTCTTTATGTGACCATACGTGGAATTCCATCATTTAAATAAAAGTGGAAAAAAATTCCAACCTTTCACAACTGCCTTTTTTTTCCTCCCTTCACTCAATGTGTTTAAATTATTTTTCTATACAAGGTAAGTACATTGTCTGTACAAAGTTAAATATACATATTTACAGTCAAACTTCTGAGACACTGAGCCTTCTCTTCCGCTAACCTAGGCGGAAGACAAGCCTACTTGATTTCAAACCCAGGAGCATGGCTAGTTTATCAAAACATTGTAAGTCGTGCTAACAGTTAGTTGAAGTTATTCTTAATAAATCTGTATAAAAGCATCAGCATAAAAATAGGCATTTTATATTATTAAATACTGCTTATGACAAAATAGCAATCTAACCCTTTGCTATTTGTATGGTATCTGTAGGAAGCAGAGTCTGATAGAACCGGCTTTGTTTATGCTTTTTCTTAATAACAAAATGTCTATCAAAAGAGTATTCGTAGTGGATTTACAGGCAAGCATACAGGCAAGCCATGTTTTTGTTCCTCAAGGAAATACGAATCTATGTAACTGGTAATAACTGCTGGGAACAGCTTTCCAAATTGATTAGACTTTTTTGTATGACTAAGAGGCAGCCAAATACATGTATTTGAGACCTCCTATCAATGCTGTAACCAAAAAAAAAGCACCCTCAGTGATACGTTGATACGTTGCTCAGATTTATCAGAGCCACTAACATTTAATGCTGGGAAAGGAGCAAAGTCTTCATCCCAAAGAGTATGCTTCAAACAGTGTGTGATCCTTTAGGGCCAGCAACAGGGCAGAAGAAGCAGAGAAAGTGAACGGCTGTAGGACTCATAAACAGGATTTGCTCTTACGGATGTTCTGTTTATTGGTTCTATTCTTTGTGCAGATAAATGTCAAAGCCAGGCTCATTTCTCTTTAAAAAAAGAGGACTCAGTTTGTTTTGATGCACACAATACACTCACACACACACCCTGCACAAAAGAAAAAAAAAACCTGCAGAGATAGGTAATATGTTATTAAAGGGTTTGGGATTTTTGTGCATTTGCATTATGCTTTGGCTGACCTCTCTGGATTAAACCACCAGTCCCAAATTCCTTTTCCACACAGAGCTCTGCAGTTTAAGCATATCAGCTGTCCTCTGCCTCTACTGGGTCTTAAGGTGCATGACATGAAGGAAGGGTTTTCTATGGAAGCGGAAGGCAGAGCAAAGTGAGTCTTCAGCGAGGCAGAAACCAGGCAGAAAGCCTGGCCTCCCTGAACCTTGCCAGTGAAAGGGAGCAGCTGCAGACTGCACACTGCCCCAAAGCACTATCCATCCTAGCTCAACACACAAATGAAACCTATACCATGTGCTTCCCTGAAGCCTTCTCAGAGGTAAGTACTCCATACAAATTAAGATTATCACCCGAAGTCTTGCTGGGGAGGGGAGAGGAATACACAAAGGCAGCACTGTAAACCAGAAACTGTCTCTTCTTCAGCAAACAAATCACACCCTGAATCCGTGGAAGCAGGGCTACACATTCAACTCAGTACTGTACCACAAAACCACATCCTCCTAACACATCTCATCTCTTGTCTATTACATTCATAAATTGTCTGTTTCTTCACTGTTTAAAAACACCATCTGGAAAACAACCCCATCGCTGTCACAGTGGGATCACTGTTATTTTACAGGTACAGAAGCTTCACGTAGTTGCCTGGGAAGGTGCCGAACTGCCTTGTTCTCCTGGACGTACCTGTTGCAAAATAAAACACAAGGAAGCCAGAGTAAGATGGACCCATGCAAGGAAGGCTTAGGGGTTTAAAAAGGTAGAGGTGGCAGCCTCTTCTGCTTGCAGGCATTGCTTTCTAAAACTAAATAGGAGTCCTGGTCAAAGAGCCTTTTGGTATAGATGACATCACAACTAGTTCTGCTACTAATCATCTTTGGTCTTCCCTTTTAACAATTAATAAGATGCTGGTGAAAGCTCCTGGGCCTATAGGCTAGGAGCCAAACTCCTATTGGTGTAAATGAGCTAATCTCCCTTAAGAAGAGATAACAAGCTTAGATTTGCAGTGTTGAGATGGAGAACACTGTTCAGACTTGCATTCTTTGAAGGTAAAGGGCTAGATTTTGCTAAACATACAGCTGCAGATGAGGCTGGATTTTCAGGGACTGCAACTCCCACCCATGTGTTCCCTTCGTCCCCTACTTGCCACGGCTCCCTCAGCTTTGGAAAAGCTACAGAAAGCCAGTTTTCCTTGGTTCCCTCTGTTGCTCTGCCATCCGTGTGAGCAAGAAAGATCAGAATGAAGAGTGGAACAAGGAAATTAGGAAGAGAAAAAAGGAAAGGCAAGTGTCACACTCACCCACAAACCAGCCGTCGTCACATTTCTCCATGACATCGACAATGTCACCGTCCCTCAGTTCCAGCTCATCATCGTTCTGAGGAGTATAGCTGTAGAGAGCTTGGTAGCTAACTCTAAAACAGGAAAGATTCTGCACATTAGCTATTGGATTTGCCTGACATCCATTCAGAAGGAGATGTGTCCCTTCCCCTTTCTAATTCCTATTATATTTTGTTCAATGCAGTCTGGACCTGTGTTTTCCATTTGAGAGGTGGAAGCCAACTGCATTAAATTGGCTGCTGTCACAACGCCATGGTAGTAAAAAGCGTCACGCCTGCAGTGTGGGGGATATGTGGAGAGCTTACGTCTCCTTTTTGCCATGTAGTTGTCTCCATAGACTGTAACAACTGGAGTCTTCCTAACATGTAGCACCTAGAGAGTGTACGAGTGCAGATGCCCCAATGAATGCAAGCCAAAACCTGGATACACTCATTGCTGGGCTGAGACATCTGTTCCCTTGTCTGGGCACATAGGCAGGGCCATGAATGACCGAATGGCAGAGTAAAGGACTCTGCCATTTGGGAAAGGCAGAAGGAAAAAGAGAGTGCCTATTCTACCGCACTAAGGTTGCTGGATAAATCATAGCTGAGGAGCAACAGTGCAAACAAAATCTAAGGTTGAATCCTGCCCTGAGATACCACTTACACCAGGGGCACTCTGTATTTATCAGAAAGGAACTTTACGGAGTCGAAACAATCTTTGGGCAAATTTGGGCAGGCTTGGATCCCCTGCCTGTAGGGACTGAAGACAGAGCTGATGTGAGACTTTCCGTTCTGCATGGAGGAGTGGGGGAAAGCAAAGGCTCCTTTCAGAAGCCAACTGCCAAGGAACTTCAATCCCCAGCATGCAGTGCGGGCTACTCTTCTCAAAACCAACAGTGAAAGGCCCCACCAAGCTTAATGGCAGCTCCAGGTTTAAACCCACCAGACAGGTTTGAAAATCTCAGCCTTCGTTTCTCAGATCATTCAGCCACCAATTCACCTGTGGAACTGGCCAACAACGCACCAAGTAGCATTGGTGTTGGGACTGCTCACTACCGTGAGAAGCTAAGAACAGGGGTGAACACATTGACCCACACCATACGAGTGAGGTGTAGCCAGTGGATATTAATTTGTCTCCAGTTTCAAGACATTGAGATAGTCCCCATAACCAGCATGAATCAATGGTCCAAAGGAGACCCAGTCCTGGATCATGAGATCATTGTTTCAGGTGCTATACAGACACAAAGGTCCTAGTTTTAAACTACTCACGATGATACGTGGCTGACATTTTCCCGTAATTCTAATTTAACTCCTGAAATGCTGAAGCTTTCACACCTCCCCATCTTCAGCACCAGTCAGAGACAAGGCCCCTGGAAGAGATGGGAGCCAAAAGGACTTACATGTCTCGTGGTGTTTGACTTCTGTCAGGGCTGGCTCCTTGCTGCTGTGCTTGAGGTTGCTGAGAAATGATGAGAGATGGTTTATGGTCATTAGAGGTCACCTTGTGGCGAGAGTCAAGAGGTTGAGAAATAGTACTGCAGTAACGAACAGACTTTTCTGCAATGTTTATGATCTCATTGCAAACAGCTTCCTGCGTGGTAGGCAGCATTGACATCCAAGAACACCCAAAGGACAGTCAACAGGGGGGAGGGAGGGGAAAATATAGACAAGAAGAGATGGGACATTCCAGATGCAGCACAAAAGTCCATTTAAAAAAAAAAAAAAAAAAAAAAAAAAGAGTTGTAGGTCCAGGTAAATATCCAGGTAGTGAAGTGCAGAAGGGATCCAGGTGTAAGCATGGAAAAACAGGCAAGATACAGAAGAATTTGGCATTTAGTTTGAAGATTTGTAACAAATACATATACATATATTTTTAAAAACAGCAGCAGCATAAGAGGTTGCAATTAGTTATGCAGTGGCACCATTACAAATGCTATGAAGTCAGTTCAAGAATGCAAGGTGGGCCGCTCCATTCATGCATTTTGCTTTGTTTAACTTATACCCAGGGACTGGCAGCACAATTAGCCCAGCTTCGCATTGGCTATGACAGTTTTTCTAATGGCTAAATTCCCTTTTTCTGTTGCAAACAAAACAATATATGCAAATCAATAAATATGTACCTACTTTGCAGCTAAAAATAGTGGTAGCATTTTATCTCTACTGAGGTGTTACTGTCTGGGTGAAGACAGTCTAGGACTACGCATCTGATTTAAACAGTGGCCTTACCACATAGCTCTTTTCAGACTCTGTGAGATCTGGTCCAGCTCTCAATGAATGGTGGGAAGGCTGTGTGATCACCAAGCAAATAATAAGGAAGATATTTTAGCAGATGTTACACTGGTCAGAATTAAAAAAAATTAAATGGAGTGCAGACAACAAAAGAAAATGAACAACTCTTCCCCTCCCCACCCCAACACCACGCTTCTTGGACAACAAGGTCTTTCATTTACACAAGAGACATTAAGGGTACAGTAATGCAACTGCACTGCAGCACACAGAATAATGCTGCAAAGAGAAAGGTGACAGAGAAACAGAAGCTCAGAGCAGGGAATCAAAGTGGAGGATTATGGACACTGCTACAACCAGAAATGGTATATAGTGTCATACTGCATTCCTGCAGGGACAGGGGGGACACACCCAAGGACAGAAGCACATACTTGAGAGCATCAAACTTGAAAGGCCAAAAGCACGCTGAGAGGAATCTGCTGCTGTTTTTAGAAAAGTCTTCAACGACTTTGACACAGGAGAGAACAGTAACTCGTTTGCTTCTTAAAAAAAGACCGTCTCAGGTCCTCGGAAGGCACACTGCTGTGCAGCCCCATCAAAATCACTCTAGCTTGTACCAAGCGAGGATCTGAGCTGCTCTGTTAATTCTCACAACATGGCAGAGCTTCAGGTCAGAGGAGGCCCTGACTGGAAAACCCAGGTCCAAACACCACCACCTGTGAAGTTTCTGGACTCTGCCCTGCCTCTCTCCTCAGTCACAACTCTTCACAGGGACTCGTGTGTCCCAGGGCACAGCAAGGAAAATCAGTGTGTTTGGGGCTGGAGGTTTTATGGGGAAGGGAAAGGTCACTGAGAAAGTCGCACAGGTATCCAGAGCCTGGTTGTGCACGCTTTTTGCATAATCAGACACCTACTGAGAGCAAGGGGCATGCTGTGAGCAAATGGGATGTCTGAACTAGTGTACAGTTATTTGTACTACCTGCAGGACTGCTTGGCAAAGTGGATTGGATAAGATACAGAGCATTGTCATCCTCTGTGATCATTCAACACAATTTTCAACCCAAATTCCAAAGGCCTCTATTTTTATGCTTTCCCTCCTCCTCTTTATTCACTTCAACAACTCCCTTCAGTAAAAGGCTTGCTTTCTCACAGCACCCCAAGACAAAGCAGAAGCAGAGGATAAAGAGGTTTGTGACACCTTCAGCCCAAGCATGCTCAAAGTTTGGAGAAGTGCAGGGTGATAAGCTCATCCCTGTTTAATTCCCATTCTCAAAGCTTCTTTGAACCACATCTTGGACCTCTGGAGCTGTGCCTATCATTGTATTAAAGCAAACTGTCTCTTTTGAGGACTGTGACCCACTCTGGGCCAACCCAACCCCACAGCAAGCCCTTTGTAGTCAGCTGTACTGTCTGGGGCTGGAATCTGGGATCACTGCCCTAAGAAACAATGCTCTGTTACCATGTACATTTCTACAGAGAGAAAATTAAATATAAGTTGGATAGGCTAATTGCAGTGGAATTCACATTCAAAGCATTTACTGTGGGGCTTGAAATCATGACAGAATTTCTGGAAGTCATTCCTGCCTGTATATCATTAGCCCTGAAAGACAAATGGAATAATTAGAAAATTAATTAATAAATTAATAAATAAAATTAATATTGTGCAGACCAACTGGATATAGTGTATCAAATCTGATGAGATCAGAGCTAACTCAGGTGGTCAAGGAGCTGGGAAAACCAACTGCCAGGCTGAGATGAGAGGCAGCTGTAAGAATGATTTCTTTTTTTTTTTTTCCGTCACGAAAGTGCTTCTCTGCTCCATACTAATAAACTGACTGCTGGAATTGCTCCATGAGCTCCTAAGACCGCATGGTCCATCTCTCATTGATTACTTGTGACCTCCCTGACCAGCTTTTCCTTCAAAAAGCATTAATAACTATGAATTAAATTAGTTACTTGAAAGCTAAAAAATTGACACTACCTCTGAATGCTCCATAGTGCAGACATGTATGTGCAATACCAGCAGGTGCAGCCTACCAGCATCAGAAACTTGACCACGTTCCCTTTCCTGGCAGCATCCTCACAGGGACTTCCATGAGGCAGCTGTGCAGGGGCAGAGGCCAAGCAGTCCCCCTGCCCTCCCAGCAGCCCCCAGTTCCCAACAAGACACACGACCAAGTGGATCCCTTCTGGCCTCTGCTCCAGAGATCCAGGCAGCTCCTACCAAAGCTGTGGGTGTCTCTGCACTAACTCCTAGGGCTACAGCAGAGCCATACAGTGAAGTGATGAAACACCCCGAAGTCAGCAACTATGCAACATTAGCCAAACAGGATGAAAAACTGACCAGATCAGATCCTCTAATTTTAGACTGTAAATGTACCACACCACTGCTTCAAACAGGTGACCTTGATAGCACAGCCTAGATGGCTTTTAAAAAAAAAGTAAAAAAAAAAGCCCTACATTGTTCTTACAGGGAGAGAAGAGAATAAAGAAAAGAAAAAAAAAAAAAAAAAGGGTGTTACAGGTCCAAATGCTCTTCAAAGATGGGTTTGGAAAGCCCAGGTACTACCTACGGTGGTGGTTCCATGTGCCAGAGGTGGCTGAGGAATCAGCAAGTGTGGGGCACAGCTCCAAAGTATAAAACACAGAGGTTCCCCCAAAACACTGAGCCAGCCCTGCTGCTACTGGAAGTAAACTGAGGGCCCTAAAAGTGAACAAGTATTCAAAACCCATGGGGACAACCTAACTTCTACCCTCTCAGTCACACTACATGCTTTGTTAAGACTAAGTGAATAAACTTAAGCAGGTGCTTAAAGTATCTATGTCTCCATGTCTACAGACTACAAATACACAGTACAGTCAGTCCTGAAGCACAGCTGGCCACTGTTTCCACCTCATACAGAGTTTGAGGATGGATCTAAAGAGCACCACAGGTTTGTAAGAATACCAGAAAAAGGTTTTAACTGTTGGGAAGCAAGATGCTGGGGCTACTCAATAGTGCTCTCCCTGCTCTTAGTGAAGTCAAGTGTCATCAGTGTGTGTATCCATTGCAGCTCTTGTTTACATGTCTTCTTCCATTCCTGTCTGGTGGGAGTTAAAGGACTACATAAGCAAAGAGAAAGCTAAGCGGAACAGACTAACAGACAGACAAGACAGACAGACAAATTGGTATCCCCTCAGAGAAGGGCACACATCAGCAGTGATGGTCCCACACGTGAATGAAGAACCACGAGCAGGGAGGACTCCCCAGCCCAGCCAAAAGAAAAAAGGAAAACCTCCGCACACACCCAGCCCCAGCTGGGGTGAAGCCTTCTGGTGAAAGCAAGGGGAAAGCTGGCCAAAGAGATCTCACAAAGGACATTGAAAAGGCTGCAGTGAGGAGTGGCCTGACCTAAAGGCCGTCAAAGTCAATGGAAAGATTCCTTGGCCCCTGGATCAGAAACTTGAAGGCTGTGTCTGCAGCAGAAAAAAACGCATCTCCTGTGGGAGCAGGTACCAACACCTGCCACAGGCTGTGCAGCTCTGGCTTGGACAATAAACACACTGGGCAGAAACGCCATCGTGCTGAACCTGTGGGGCAGCAGAAAACCACTGTGGGGGGATAACAGCTTACCTTGGAGATGGTGCAAAGTAATGACCATGACAGTGTAGCTGGTCTGTGCTGGGGAATATGGGCTCTGAGCATCCTTCTCATACTCACTCCCTCTCTACCAGCACAACTGGGTGAAATTACTCACCGCTCTGCCTGAGTGGTTTTGCAGAAGTGGAAAGGAGCAGAGTGCCCCCCACTGACACCCCTCACACTGCCGGGCAATACAGGGACCCTCGTCCAGCCACTCCTGCCTTCCCCAGCCCACAGTTGTGGTCTCACCCTGTGGCCGAAGCTGCTGCACTACTCACACACTTGCTAGCACCGCTGCTGACTGTTACACTGTGCTAACAGGACCTCAGAGTAAAACATGTATTGAACTAGAAAATTCCCAAGGGTCCCTTGAGATAAATTAATTTGTTAGATTACATCACTGCTTAATATCATGTTTTACTGGAATATTGAAACAAATTATCTGTAAGTTATACTTGAAATACCTTTCACATGCTGTGGGGTCGTTCTTTTTTTCTTTTTAGTTTGGACTGTGAAACTAAACAAAAGGGAATAACTTCAGAATAGCTAAAAGAGCCATTGCACTTTATATTGTTACTTAATGGAACAGGCAAGAACACAGTCCTTACACC